AATTTTTTATGCAGAAAAGGCCAACATAGTTACTTACTATATTTTTGACTTGGGGAATTATCTTTAAAAAAAAAAACAGACTTTAAGTGAATCATAATAGCATAAGAAATCATAAGTTCATAAAACGAAATCCATAAGACATAAATTAATCATATTCATAATCAGCATAAGGTAATCATAACTGAGATTCATTTCACAAGGGATTTGTACCATTTGTACTTATGACATCGATAATATCATAACTTGGAAAAAAAGGTTTATCGTATATTGATTCATATAAATTCAATAGCGTTCATATTTTGTATTGTATTGAATAACTTCTGGTTAAAAAACCAACGAACGTGTTTGATGTCATTAATTTGTTTCAGTCAATTTTTATGTGTTAAAAAAGGAAGGCAAAAGTACAAATTCTCGTGACACAAACGTAGTTACGTAAGACACAAATGACAAATACAAATTACAAGTAACAAGAGACAAAAATATCATAACACTTCACTTGTATCAATGCTATAACACAGAATAAATAGATACAAGATAAAATTTACTTGTTACGCCAAAATACAAAATTTCGATTTTTTGTTATTTTGTATCTGTCACTTGTACCTTGTATTTGTCATTGTGTGTCCAGCTTCAGTGAGTTTTGATTCCGTATTTGTTAAAATGGTAAGTCGATGATGAGTAGCATTAGGCCGGCTTCTCACGAGCGTAAACTTGACATAACTGACGCAAATGCTGAATACGTGAATTTTGGCGCAACATTTACATGGAGTGGAGAATTTACGCCGCCCGCGTATGCCAAAATTATATTCTTTTTCTAAATTTTGAAATATTTCTTTGAATTTTGATTGGACAAATTTGTATTTGTTTTTGCTTTAATTCCAAATAGTTGCAAATATGAATAGCTAATTACAAAAATCAAGAAAACGGAACGGCTGCAACCTTAACCTCTAAAAACGCTGAGTTTCTACGCAAAAAGTTGAACTTTGCTCAACTTTTGGCGTATCTGCGCAGAGTGTCAGCGTATCCAATATGGCGGGATTTTGGCCAATCAGAATTCTGCATTCAGGTACGCTGTCACGCCATAAATGTCAAATTACGCTCATGTCAAGCCGCCCTTATTCATCAAAATCAGATAAATATGTCAAAGTACTTTTAATATTATTCACTCTCTTGCTCAACTTCCTTCCAAGGTTTCATTCTTGAAGGTGCCATTACACTTTCAAAAGGCATTTAAGGTAATTGGTCTTATATGTAAGGTTTGGAAAGGTAAGTTACCCTTAGGATCGGTTTCTCACCTCCGGGTTGGTTTTAACTCCAGGTTAAACGTGTCCAGTTCCAATGTTTACCCTGGAGTTATGCTTAACTTGCTATTGAAAAATGGGGCCTTATATATTGGATTTAAAGTTCATTTCACGGGACGAGATAGTGAAAGTAAACAAACTTTCACAGTTAAGTCGAATTTTATTGGCGAAAAAAGGATTATACTTTGCACCAAGGTTATTTGAGAGAAATAGGTTGCCTGATAACTTTATGACGTCATCTGGGGTGCCTCAACATAATGCAAATCTCCATAAGGCACCCCAGATGCGTCATCAAGTAACCCATTACCAGACAAACCTATTAAATCTAGGAATCTTGACTCCGCCCTAGGCAGAATCGTTTTAGGTTGTTTTGTATTTCTATTCTCTGAATAATGAATGATAATATTTCGTAATTCATATGTGTGCAATCCATCTCTGGATTTTTGGGCTCCGCCTGTTTGTTTACCTCTACTATCTCGTTTTGTGGAATGAATTTTAGAAAGTTTTCAGCTATTCCATGAAAAACTAATGCACTTGAGACAATTCAAAATATAGTGCTTAATTTTTTCTTTCATATTCGGAAAGCCCAAATCACCCGGACTCAAACGGTATTGTTGAAAGATTCCACTCAACAATGTTCGGAAACCAGTATGTACATGACTAACTTCGACATGGTATGTTCTTATTACATTTTGTTCCATGGAACTAGGTACCTAAAATTGAATTTTATTCTTATTTTTTCGATAAACTAATCCATTAGTTAGTACAACACCCCCTAGTGGTCCTGTCTGCAGTCTAAACATTCATTTCTATTCTCATGACAGCCTCACAGCCCTGATAACAGACCCATCAACTTCTTTTGACTTCTCTTCTAAAATAGGGTAACTTTCGGTTCCAAGTTCAGTGTTGTGTGTACTCTGACACCCCAAATTCGAGACTAGCAAACCATCGAAAAGGAAGAACCCAATGGTAAAGTAAAATCTAAAAACCCTGATTACAATTCGGGTTTCTAGTTGAACAAAACGTGCTCTTTGCTCGCACGACAACTCAACAAAATGGAGTAGATTCTCGTCGCCAGAAAATTCTGAGTGGTTGGCTTACAAATACGGGGACATACGACCCAAAATCAATTAAGCCAGCTACCACTTGAGTTTCCAACGGCTCTAAAATCCCACAAAAGGTGGATGTTCCAAAGAACGCAGCAAACAGGACCGCCGGTAAAATCTGCCAACAACTTGTTGCTTGCTCAACGTGCGAATTTAAAGAGAACGACCCTATTTTCGGCAATTTACCAGGTGAGCTCATATAAGCAATTTCCAAGAATTCTCGGTGTTCCAAGATGCCCTCTGGTACCAGATTTCCAGTCTTGACCAAGAAACGAACAACCCAAATCACATCGATGACAAACAAAACTCAAAGTTGTTATCTAATTTTCTCCTCTAACACTAATTAATTAATTAATAATCACCATCTACCCGGTTTTTTAGTCTAAAAACCATCAAAATAACCACCTGTTCAGAGATAGCAACGTAGTAGCAACACGATAGCAACAAAGGTTGAGAAACCTCGGCAACAGCGCTTTCTGACCAGGATCAACAAGTGTCCCATAATCACACTTATTCGGGGAAATCACGTAAAATCCAATGAGAAACCCATCAATCACCGAAAAATAATAAACCTCAGGTATAGGGCTTCATAAATACCCTCACAAATACCTGAATCATTTACCGAATTCATCCGAAATCTCAGTTACACACAATTTGTACGTAACAGATGTTATGGATAGGATAACGTCGCAGAACGGAACAATGACGTAATGAGAGCCATGAGGATGAGGGAGAGAACATACACAGTAGAAAGCGGACATCATCTGGCTCCCAAAGAAGGATCAGTCTCCTACCGACCCTTGGGAAGATTTTGGACAAGTGTTGGACGATTACTGCTACACTTGTACAACTGAATCTTGTCATTGTGATCATTCATCTGATATTGGAGCAAGAAAAATATGGCGATCATAACTTCCATACTGAAGACTTTTCTCTTAGAATTCCAAAACGACACTTGCAGGACCATTAGGACAATGAGAACGTCTTCGTCGTATATCGAAAACTGTCGATTCAAGCTGTGAACTTTCTCGAAAAGCAGCAGTTGTAAATCCTGGGCGACCTCGAAACAAGCTTCCGAGTTTACGGTTTCCTAGTTCAAGCCGCGATCTTACTTAGGGAAACCTAATAAAACTTGCGGTGTATTTGTACTGTACGAAATAAAGTAGCTCCTGGAAAAAGACCAAATGAACTCGGGTTGGATGCGTCAACAATCTGCTCTATTTTAGACAAAGTTTGGTGGTTTATGTTTTGCTAAAGAGAAATGAGAGATTTGAGAAGTGAGAAAGTAGATTAAAACATTTACAAGATTCATAGGCATAATATCTTGAAACAAATACAATGAGTTGAATGTAATATTATCAAACAGTAGTGCTGATAGCTGATACCATTTACTATGGAATTGTAATGTAAGTTTTCACAAATCTATAATGTATAATGTAATGTCAAGTGTATGTAACATCTCCTTCGTTTTGAAAAAGAATTCTGCAGTTGTCTGAAAAGTTACAGGTTCCTAAGGTAAGACACCAAATGTCTACGTGCTGCCTGCAAAGACTTACGTTTCAAATGAATCAATCAACTTTGCCTTTTACATAACCCAAGAAAATATAGGCCAACGTTTTCTAAAGAGGTATTCAGGCCCTACGGTTTTAATTACGACATTTATTATTAAAAAAAAGCGCTGCAAAGCCTTTGAAGATTCTCAGATGTTTAGATGCTTTATGTGTTCGTAAAAATCCAGGTTTTTTCGCCGAAATCTCCACATTAACCCTCCTTTGCGGTTCTATAATTAAACGCTATGCGGGTTTTCTCCAAATGGGAAAGTTTAAAAGTGCAAACTAAGATTATCCCAAATTTATTACCGAGATAATTTGCCTGTCATAGACTGCAAAGTAATGACAAAATCTACGAAGAAATATCGCCTATTACATTTGGTATGTTAGTTGTTGTATGTAAAAACTCCCGCAAAAAAAAAGTTTCGGATCTATAAACTTCTAAATGGATAGTTGTCGTCGTACAAAACCCAAGCTGAGATAGTTTCTCGCGACAATTAAGGAAATGTTTAACTTGAGCCAACTAACTTGCAACAAATAAAACAACGACAACGGGTAAAATGTCTGCACCAAAAGCGCTGCAAATGACAAAGTTTCGACGGTAATTGGCTTGTCGGACTTGTTTACTGATTTCTTTGAGGTCAGAGTTTATTTCACTATTTTGTCGAGTGCGAGTTGAACCAAAAACAAATTGAATTATACCGTTTGCACCTGGTTAAAACAAACACAGAAGTTCAAGCTATTTCCTTAATTAATTAACTCTCCATTTAAATGTGTGTGAACTTCACAGAATTGGTAGGAGTAGCAGAAATATTTCTACTCATTACTTGAGTTTTCTTCAAATTTTTTAGATTGAACAAAATTCAAAAACTTATGTCTGCCTACATTAATAGGGAAGGCTTTGTTAGAATTATTTTGGATTGTTATTAGTATTTGAAATGTAGAATGCATCAGTTGATGCGTGAATGATATTTATTTCAGACTTTTCAAGTTAAATTTCGGAAGCGCCATCGGTCGGTAAACAACTAAAACTTTCCACTTACCTTAAAATGAGTCCGGTTGAGGAGTTCTCGAAGCTCGTGAATGTCGCGCCGATCAATATCCCTGCGATGTTCGAAATCTCGCAAAACTTCCAACACGAAGAGGCAAGTTTGAACTCCTTCGGTAGATGGAGCTTTGATGGGCGTCGGTAATCGAGTCACCACTTGATCAAATATCTAGAATTAACAATAATTAATTAAGCTAGATTAATGTCAATGTGTAACTTTTACTATGTATTTGGTTTTGACTATTTACTATTTGAATGTATAAAATCAGGAGAATTTACGGACAAAATTGGCAATTTAGCTTGCATGTTTAGTGGCTTTGCTAACACGAACTGGGAATTGTGTTTTGGACTATGTAATGCATGTATCCGTGCCAAAGCAACAATGTTACCCTTTGTGTAACTAGAATGGAAATGTTTTACAATATTTGATGTTTTCATTTCAAAGTATTACAGTACATTGCAGTGTTGCTAACCGTACTATAATTATAATATTTGTCTCTCTTTTTTTACCTAGGTTGGCATGCAAGCCCTTATTCTAATTTTCCTAAACCTATTGGCGTGCAAGCCCTTATCCGAAGACCTTATTGTAGTTCTCCTCAGCCTATTTTATATCCTAATTTGTTGGCTGCAAGCCCTTAATCTACTCACTTCTTAATCCTAATTTGTTGCCTAATCCTACTTTCTATTAATAACAAGTCCTAATCCTATTGGTTTCCTAATGTGTTGAGGTGCCCTTATGTCTAGTCACCTTAGTGCCGGTACTTTTGCTCTCATTTGACAACCGTTAAAAATAATCAGGGGTTTGAATGTGCTCTAACCACAACAAACTTATAGACCTTGGCCCATGCAAAACTTTGACAATGTATCAAATTCGTTCGGGAGCAAAAGTATCGGCCCTGAATAGGCTCTGTCGTTTTAGTATTGATAGAGCATGTATTTTTTGACAGTTGACAATTTAAATGTCAACTGTCAAAAGTGTTAGTTTAGTGTTTTTTTGGTGATTGGGTTTACACTGTCAATTGTCAATTTCATTGATTTTCCTGAGCGCGTCCTTTTTTTATACCAACAAAGATGTTATCGAAAGCACCCCTATTTAAATTTTAAAATTATTTTAATTTTGTTGTTTTCCGCGAGAAAAATTTGAAATTTAAGTATAATGCACCCCTGACTTTTGTCTTTTTCTCCAGAAAATGTCCTAATTTTTCCTTGAATAGTTTTCCAGAAAAAAAAAATTAAATGTTAGATGGCGCATTTATGCCTAATTTAGTTAATTTTCAATAATTTCCAATGGGGTTATTTTCTACTGGAAGAATTTGAAATTTCACTATGATACGCCCCTGACTTTCCTCTTTTTTTCTAAGAAATGTCATAATTTTCCCCTGAATAGTTTTTCAGAAAAAAAATAAAATGTTAGATGGTGCATTTATGCCTAATTTATTCGATTTTCATTAATTTCCAATGGGGTTATTTTCTACTGCAAAAAATTGAAATTTTAGTATCATACGCCCCTGACTTTCCTCTTTTTTTCCAGGAAATGTCATAACTTTCCCCTGAATAGTTTTCCAGAAGAAAAATAAAATGTTAGATGGTGCATTTATGTCTAATTTAGTTGATTTTCATTAATTTCCAATGGGGTTATTTTTCACTGGAAAAATTTGAAATTTCATTATGATACGCCCCTGACTTTTTCATTTTTTTTTTCCAGAAAATCACATAATTTTCCCCTGGATAGTTTTCCAGAAAAAAAATAAAATGTTAGATGATGCATATATGTCTTATTTAGTTGATTTTCATTAATTTCCAATAGGGTTATTTTTCACTGGAAAAATTTGAAATTTTAGTATGATACGCTCCTGACTTTTCTTTTTTTCCAGAATATTTCATAATTTTCCCCTAGATAGTTTTCCAGAAAAAAAAATGTTAGATGGTGCATTTATATCTAATTTAGTTGATTTTCATTAATTTCCAATGGGGTTATTTTCCACTGAAAAAATTTGAAATTTTACTATGATACGCCTCTGATTTTCTTCTTTTTTCCAGAAAATTTCATAATTTTCCCTTGAATAGTTTTCCAGAAAAAAAAAGAAATGTTAGATGGTGTATTTATGCCTAATTTAGTTGATTTTCATTAATTTCCAATGGGGTTATTTTCTACTGGAAAATTTTGTAATTTCACTATGATACGCCCCTGATTTTCTTCTTTTTTTCCAAAAAATTTCATAATTTTCCCTTGAATAGTTTTCAAGAAAAAAAATAAAATGTTAGATGGTGCATTTATGCCTAATTTAGTTGATTTTCATTAATTTCCAATGGGGTGATTTTCCACTGGAAAAATTTGAAATTTTACTATGATACCCCCCTGATTTTGCTCTTTTTTTCCAGAAAATGTCATAATTTTCCCCTGGATAGTTTTCCAGAAAAAAAATCAAATGTTAGATGGTGCATTTTTGCCTAATTTAGTTGATTTTCATTAATTTCCAATGAGGTTATTTTTCACTGGAAAAATTCGAAATTTTACTACGATACGCCCCTGACTTTCCTCTTTTTTCCAGGAAATGTCATAATTTCCCCTGAATAGTTTTTCAGAAAAAAAATAAAATGTTAGATGGTGCATTTATGTCTAATTTAGTTGATTTTCATTAATTTCCAATGGGGTTATTTTTCACTGGAAAAATTTGAAATTTCATTATGATACGCCCCTGACTTTTTCATTTTTTTTCCAGAAAATGACATAATTTTCCCCTGGATAGTTTTCCAGAAGAAGTATAAAATGTTAGATGGTGCATTTATGTCTAATTTAGTTGATTTTCATTAATTTCCAATGGGGTTATTTTTCACTGGAAAAATTTGAAATTTTACTATGATACGCCCCTGACTTTCCTCTTTTTTCCCATAGAATGCCATAATTTTCCCTGAATAGTTTTCCAGAAAAAAAATAAAATGTTAGATGATGCATATATGTCTAATATAGTTGATTTTCATTAATTTCCAATAGGGTTATTTTTCACTGGAAAAATTTGAAATTTTAGTATGATACGCTCTTGACTTTTGTTTTTTTTTTCCAGAATATTTCATAATTTTCCCCTAGATAGTTTTCCAGAAAAAAAAAAATGTTAGATTAGATGGTGCATTTATGTCTAATTTAGTTGATTTTCATTAATTTCCAATGGGATTATTTTCCACTGAAAAAATTTGAAATTTTACTATGATACGCCCCTGATTTTCTTCTTTTTTTCCAGAAAATTTCATAATTTTCCCTTGAATAGTTTTCAAGAAAAAAAATAAAATGTTAGATGGTGCATTTATGCCTAATTTAGTTGATTTTCATTAATTTCCAATGGGGTCATTTTCCACTGGAAAAATTTGAAATTTACTATGATACCCCCCTGATTTTTCTCTTTTTTTCCAGAAAATGTCATAATTTTCCCCTGGATAGTTTTCCAGAAAAAAAATAAAATGTTAGATGGTGCATTTTTGCCTAATTTAGTTGATTTTCATTAATTTCCAATGAGGTTATTTTTCACTGGAAAAATTCGAAATTTTACTACGATACGCCCCTGACTTTCCTCTTTTTTCCAGGAAATGTCATAATTTTCCCCTGAATAGTTTTTCAGAAAAAAAATAAAATGTTAGATGGTGCATTTATACAGAATTTATTCGATTTTCATTAATTTCCAATGGGGTTATTTTCTGCTGGAAAAATTTGAAATTTTAGTATCATACGCCCCTGACTTTCCTCTTTTTTTCCAGGAAATGTCATAACTTTCCCCTGAATAGTTTTCCAGAAAAAAAATAAAATGTTAGATGGTGCATTTATGTCTAATTTAGTTGATTTTCATTAATTTCCAATGGGGTTATTTTTCACTGGAAAAATTTGAAATTTCATTATGATACGCCCCTGACTTTTTCATTTTTTTTCCAGAAAATGACATAATTTTCCCCTGGATAGTTTTCCAGAAGAAGTATAAAATGTTAGATGGTGCATTTATGTCTAATTTAGTTGATTTTCATTAATTTCCAATGGGGTTATTTTTCACTGGAAAAATTTGAAATTTTACTATGATACGCCCCTGACTCTCCTCTTTTTTCCCATAAAATATCATAATTTTCTCCTGAATAGTTTTCCAGAAAAAAAATAAAATGTTAGATGATGCATATATGTCTAATTTAGTGGATTTTCATTAATTTCCAATAGGGTTATTTTTCACTGGAAAAATTTGAAATTTTAGTATGATAAGCTCTTGACTTTTGTTTTTTTTTCCAGAATATTTCATAATTTTCCCCTAGATAGTTTTCCAGAAAAAAAAAAATGTTAGATTAGATGGTGCATTTATGTCTAATTTAGTTGATTTTCATTAATTTCCAATGGGATTATTTTCCACTGAAAAAATTTGAAATTTTACTATGATACGCCCCTGATTTTCTTCTTTTTTTCCAGAAAATTTCATAATTTTCCCTTGAATAGTTTTCAAGAAAAAAAATAAAATGTTAGATGGTGCATTTATGCCTAATTTAGTTGATTTTCATTAATTTCCAATGGGGTTATTTTCCACTGGAAAAATTTGAAATTTTACTATGATACCCCCCTGATTTTTCTCTTTTTTTCCAGAAAATGTCATAATTTTCCCCTGGATAGTTTTCCAGAAAAAAAATAAAATGTTAGATGGTGCATTTTTGCCTAATTTAGTTGATTTTCATTAATTTCCAATGAGGTTATTTTTCACTGGAAAAATTCGAAATTTTACTACGATACGCCCCTGACTTTCCTCTTTTTTCCAGGAAATGTCATAATTTTCCCCTGAATAGTTTTTCAGAAAAAAAATAAAATGTTAGATGGTGCATTTATACATAATTTATTCGATTTTCATTAATTTCCAATGGGGTTATTTTCTACTGGAAAAATTTGAAATTTTAGTATCATACGCCCCTGACTTTCCTCTTTTTTTCCAGGAAATGTCATAACTTTCCCCTGAATAGTTTTTCCAGAAAAAAAAAAAATGTTAGATGGTGCATTTATGTCTAATTTAGTTGATTTTCATTAATTTCCAATGGGGTTATTTTTCACTGGAAAAATTTGAAATTTTACTATGATACGCTCCTGACTTTCCTCTTTTTTTCCAAAAAATGTCATAATTTTCTCTTGAATAGTTTTTCAGAAACAAAATAAAATGTTAGATGGTTTATTTATGCCTAATTTAATCGATTTTCATTAATTTCTAATGGGTTATTTTTTAATGGAAAAATTTGAAATTTCACTGTGATACGCCACTGACTTTCCTCTTTTTTCCAGAAAATGTTATAATTTTCCCCTGAATAGTTTTCCATAAAAAAAAAATGTTAGATGGTGCATTTATACATATTTTATTCGATTTTCATTAATTTCCTATGGGGTTATTTTTCACTGGAAAAATTTGAAATTTTAGTATGATACGCCCCTGATTTTCTTTTTTTTTTCCAGAAAATGTCATAATTTTCCTCTGGATAGTTTTCTAGAAAAAAAATAAAATGTTTAGATGGTGCATTTATGTCTAATTTAGTTAATTTTCATTAATTTCCAATGGGGTTATTTTTTAATGCAAAAATTTGAAATTTTAGTATGATACGCCCCTCACTTTCCTCTTTTTTCCAGGAAATGTCATAATTTTCCCCTGGATAGTTTTTCAGAAAAAAAATAAAATGTTAGATGGTGCATTTATGCCTAATTAATCGATTTTCATTAATTTCCAATGGGGTTATTTTCCAGTGAAAAAATTTGAAATTTTACTATGATACCCCCCTGATTTTCCTCTTTTTTTTCCATAAAATGTCATAATTTTCCCCTGGATAGTTTTCCAGAAAAAAAAATAAAATGTTATATGGTGCATTTTTGCAAAATTTAGTTGATTTTCATTAATTTCCAATGGGGTTATTTTCCAGTGAAAAAATTTGAAATTTTACTATGATACCCCCCTGATTTTCCTCTTTTTTTTCCATAAAATGTCATAATTTTTCCCCTGGATAGTTTTCCAGAAAAAAAAATAAAATGTTATATGGTGCATTTTTGCAAAATTTAGTTGATTTTCATTAATTTCCAATGAGGTTATTTTTTACTGGAAAAATTTGAAATTTTACTATGATACGCCCCTGACTTTCCTCTTTTTTCCAGGAAATGTCATAATTTTCACCTGAATAGTTTTTCAGAAAAAAAATAAAATGTTAGATGGTGCATTTATACATATTTTATTCGATTTTCATTAATTTCCTATGGGGTTATTTTCCACTGGAAAAATTTGAAATTTTAGTATAATACGCCTCTGACTTTTCTCATTTTGTCCAGAAAATTTCATAATTTTCCCTTGAATAGTTTTTCAGAAAAAAAATAAAATGTTAGATAGTGATTCAGTTTTATTAGCTGCAGTTTTTCAATATTCTCAACTTTTGACTTGAATTCAAGAGCCGGGAATAATCAAAATTTGAGTTGAGAATAAACATTATTGGGACAATTCAATAATATATAAAAAAAAAAACGAAATAAATTCTATACTTACTTCCAATATGGAATGTAGTTGAGTATCTTCTAATAAAGCTAACAGGTGCGGTCTCTCTTGAGGTTGCGATTCTTGAAGACAATAAATATCATCTAGACTATCCATTATAGTAGACACAGCTGAAAAAAAAATTGTAAATGTTATCCGTTCACAATCTGATGTCCACAAGTACAGGTAAAATTTATCACTTTTCAATGCTATTTGAAAGGGAAAGGTGATAAATTTACCTGCACCTGTGGATATTTATAGGTCATTGATTTTTTTGAAAATGATCACTTACCCACTGAAGTCACTTCATCATTTCCGCAGTCGGGAATAAAATCGTCAACTGCTTCATCAAAGTGATACCATTTACTAGAATTAACCGTGTTTAAAATGCACGTTTTTAATTTTCTCCTATTGTTGAATTTTTTAAGTTCCTCTATTGTATCGTTTAAATGGATTCTAAGAGCTTTATCACGATCCTGGAATTTTTTTTAATAACTTCATATACTTAAGTAGTAAGATTAAAACCTTACCCTTAACCACTTATGATTAAGAACTTCTTGTATCGTTATCCTTTGCTTAGGATCAACACTTAACATTTGTTGAATCAAATCTTTTGCATTATCACTAATAAATTCCCATTGAGGAGCTGAATTTATCTAGAATTATTGGAAATATGTATAGTAATTTCTTAGGCAAAATGATTATTCTTACTGCAAGTTTGCCTCTACATATTGCTTCAGTCAATCGACGGCCGCTTCCGTGAAACGGAAGCGTTCCAGAAAGTAAAACGTGCAAAAGGACACCGGCAGCCCAAATATCTATTGCTTTTCCGTACTGTCGCCTTTCTACAACCTCGGGCGCCATAAAATGAGGACAACCCACCCTACCTGAAAAATAAAATACGATAAGAAATTACAACATGAAATATTCCGCAATATTTTTTGATAGAAACTAGAATTCTATGTAGAATAATTTTGAATCCAAAAATGTATGATTTATTTCTAGAAGAACTCTAGTTTAAATATAGTGCAATTATTATTATTATTGAGTGATGAAATGATGTGAATGATGAAGTGCATTATTTAATGTGAGTCCGGTTTTGAACGGACGTTACCACAAGTCGAGAGACATTGCTGTAAGCATACATGATGATGAATGATTAGGATGAATAGCTAAATAAACATGCCTACTTACAGCAACGGGGCAAGTAACGAAAATATGAGGGTTGGAATTTGTTTGAAATATATCGCAAATCGTATCGTATATTCTAATAAGAGAAATGTCATACTCATCACATCATACTGAACATTTTTTTTCAACAATTCTCGTGAGGATTACATAATTCAGATAAATTTTGTATAAAATTTTTTGAAGAATTTACCAATTCAGACCTAGATTTCATTGTAAGGCAAATCAGCAATTTGAAATAGCGTTTACTCTATTATCATCAGATTTGATTGTAACTATTATTCTCAAATAAATGACGTACTTGTTTGAAGAGATATTGAAAGGACATCGCACACATCTTATGGGTTTTCGGGGACCGGTCGATTTTTTAAAAAATTTGGTATGTTGTAGTTCTAGCAAAAATAAGCATTTTTCATCATTGCACCAAATCTCTAAGTATACAGGGTGACCCAGTGAAGTGGGTCCGGATATCATAAAACAAGCCTTTTAATTATCGATGTTAGCGCACCCTGCAAGCTACATATCGGGATTTTTGTTTTCGATTTCGCAAATAAATAGTCAAGATAAGCCTAATATGCTATAAAGGGTGGCTAAGCAAGCGTATCTTCTAGAAATCCTGCCCTATTCTTAGAGATAGTGTTACCAAAAAGGTCGCACTGGCTTTTATTTGGTCGTAACTTTTTTAATGCCCAAAGTTATAGCACCAACCTATTAATTATTATACAGGGTGTCCCAGCCGAGAGTGACCCATTTTACATGCTTATCTATAACTTTTAAACCAGGTGTGCTAGCTACCTGCGGGTGGCACCATCCAACTTCTCTTGGCTTAGAGTTTTTTTTTAGTTGGTTGCAAACTTTTTCGATAGGTACTAATTCAGAGCCAGGAAGGAAAAAAAAAAACGTTTTTTCTGATTGTTTTCAACCAATGAAATTCGCTCTGACTGCTTTTTGATTTCTGCAGAAACAGACGTTATATCACGCACGCTGAATATGTGTGAGTATCTCCATATCACGCGGAATTGTGACAACCGATGAATTGTGATTAGGTAATTACTCTGCGTGCATGCAGCGTCTGACTCAAAATGAGCGACTGCAACCAGTGTCTGTACCCATATTGGGCGGCCGAGATAACACTCGCCAACACGCTTAGCAAGCGTGGCGTTTTAATTGCCATCAACCTCCCAAAAACCATGTTACAGTCGAAATCCAAAACAAGATTACCCCAGATGGGTAGAGCTCGAGCCTCATAGAATCCCATTCCGATATAAAATCGGGCAGCCTCACGGACTCTGAGGGAGGCCTGAGATCGACGAAAAACAACAAACCAAAGCAGACTACATATTTACATTGTTAATTATTATAATATAAGGACGATGAGAACAAGCGAGCACTTAGAGAACTAGAGGAAGAACTGAGAAATATTAAGTAGGACATAGTAGGGCTTTGCGAAACATGGTTGCAAGGAGAAAAAGTGACTACTCTAAATTCTGGGCACAACCTGTTTCAAAACAACTCAGAGACCAACTATAGCCAGGGGGGAGTGATCGTTAACAATCAATTCAAACACCTTATTAATAAATACCAAGCAATATCAAACAGGGTAATATACTTGGTAATAAGCCTAAACAAAAGATACACTATTCAACTGATACACTGCTGCGCACCTATAAGTACAGCGACCAACGAAATGATAGAAGAAGCATACGCAGGGACACTTTATCCGTTAGGACAATTAGGTCATGTCCTACGGGCCACTGAGGATGGAAGGCCAACTGTTGGCCTTTAAAATATAAAAGCCCACTATATTAAAAACATCGACTTGTTTAGTAGCAGGACTAGTACATATTTCAATACTCTTTAATTCTTATCATTCACACTGCACAAGTACATTTGGTTTGGCTAGAGTGCACTGCCTGACGTCACGATGCTCTGGAATCGCTCTGCTCGCACCATCGAGCATCGAACACGCCCTAAAGTCTTCGAGCTGCGCAGACTCGCCGTCGCGTCAAGCGCAGCACGGGCACGTGGACACGTGGCAACTGGCAACGACTACAGCAGAAACCTGTTAGTGTTTGCGCTAAACTCTGTCTAACCAAAGTTGAACGTTGAGAAAGTCACTTAAGCCTAGTACTCATAACTGCGAAATTCGCACTTTTTTGACATTGCTTCGACAATTTGACGTTTGATTCACGCATAAAACGTCAATTTGTCGAAGCAATGGGCAAGTTTTTAAAATCATCAATGTCACATGCGCATTTTCACCAATGTATTGCTGTCCTTATCATTTGACAGCAGCAAAACAAGAATAGGTTGCCCATAAGGAGAAATGCGCAGAAGCAATTGATGAATTTAAAAACTTGCCCAATGTCAAAAAAGTGCGAATTTCGAAGTTATGAGTATTAGGCTTCACTCGAATATATCACAGACGTTGCTTTTTGCTGCTATCTTTATTGCACGCGCACTGTGTTTATCAAACCAAAATAGGTCCGAACGTGTGAATCCTATGGTTACAAGGGTGAGTAAGTGACCTTCAACGTTCAACTTTGGTTAGATAGAGTTTAATCCGTTTGTTGTTTGTCCGTGGATATATTTATGGTGTCAAGTGTGATCTTGTGATTTTCAACTTTACGAATTTTCACGTGTAAACTAAAATCTTTGAGAATCGCATACGATTCTGTTCGTTTGTTCCTGAAATATAGTCTTATTAAATATTTTTTACTGGTTTTTTAGTAGTGTTAAACCGTTTGAATGATTTTATTTAACCCCATAAAAAAGAACATTCACTCATGAAAGACCATACCAAATAATTGACCTACGGGCCAGAGAAAGGTTAAAGCGTCACTGAGCATACGAAGACATTACACGGGCCTGAAACCTCGAAAACACTCAATATGTAATTATTACAGAGGACTTTAACGCCAAGGTAGAAAAGAAACAACCAAGTGATACATGCTACATAGGGAACTTTGGTCAGGGACAACGAAACGAACGAGGAAATATGCTCGTAAACCTCTTAAACAACGAAAAACTCTACTGTATGAACACCTTCCAAAAACAAACTCAAAGGAAGTGGACGTGGCGAAGCCCAGGCGGACTGGTGAAAATTGAAATAGACCCCATCCTTGCAAACAGAAACACTATCTGCAAAGATGTCACAGTGCCAAACAGGTTTGACACAGGAAGCGACCATAGACTAGTGCGTGCCAAGATACAAACACCAACATAGAAAGGAGAAGACTAGTAACCAGACATTAATTCCCTACAAGAGATGCCCTGCAACTCAATCAGGAAACCTATCAAAAAAAAACTAGAGAAGAAGCTAAGGCCAGCGACACACCAGGATAATTATATAGATGAAATCCTCAATAAAATACCACATGGCATAACTACAGTCACAAAGAAAACATGCAGTAGGATAAGGCAGAGATCAGATACCAAATTAAAACCAGAGACGATAGACCTAATAAGAAAAAGAAGAAAAACTGACAGAGACTCCCCAGAATATAATACCCTAAATAAAACAACGAAAAAAGAAATAAGAAAAGACCTAAGAGAAAACAAAACAAGCAAAATCCTGGAAACTATAGAGAAAAATCAAGGCATATGAGAGTTCTAAGATCGAACCAAGAAAGGGGAAAACAAAAAATTGTAAAAAAAAAAAACATTCAAGGAAACCTTATCACAGACAAACAGGAAATTAGAAGGGAAATACAAATATTCTACGAACAGGTCTACCAAATAACTATACCAAGCCCAAATGGACCACCTAAACACATTACAAACGTAGGCTCAGAAGACATGCCGGAAATATCACCATCAGAAATTAAATACGCACTCCAACAGATGAAAAACGGCAAGAGTCCGAGAGAAGAATAACACCGGAAATGCTGAAGATGGGTGGAAAAACACTAACAGGGACAATAGGAATGCTGTTAAACAAATGTCTGATAAAGGGAAAAATCCCGAAATCTTGGAAAAATGCCGAAGTCGTGATAATATACAAGAAAGGGGATTGCTCAAATGTAGAAAACTATAGACCAATAAGCCTACTATCACACCTATATGAACTTTTCACTAGAATTATCAACAATCGACTGACTGCGAAGCTAGACTCCTACCAACCGGTAGAACAAGCAAGCTTTCGAAGGGGCTTTAGCACTACAGACCATCTGCAAACAATTAGGGCAGTCATCGAGAAAACAACAGAATATAACATCTGGCATTTTTGGACTACCAGAAAGCCTTTGACAGCGTTGAAACCTGGTCTTTTCTAGCGACGATGGAGGACGCAAGAATCGATTCGAGATACTTTACCCTTATTAAGAATATCTATGATAAGGCAACCTTTCACGTTAAAATTAACGACGATCTTAAAACAGATAAAATATCAGTTGGCAAAGGAGTACGACAGGGGGATACCATCTCTCCCAAGCTATTTACCCTAGCACTGGAGAATATTTTTAAGAAGTTGGAATGGGAAAACAAGGGCTTAAACATCAATGGAGCATACCTCAATCACTTCAGATTTGCAGACGGTATAGTCTTGATGAGCACCAACATTCAAGAACTGAACAACATGCTACATGAGCTAAACGAGCAATCCAAGAAAATAGGCCTAAAAATGAACCTGAACAAGACCAAAATAATGCGCAAAAATGAATGTAACATCACCATAGACAACGTTATCATAGAAAATGTA